GCCGCCGGCAGGCCAAGCAGGCCCGGCCCCTGCCGAACGGAGTTGCCGGCGCAGCGAAGCGAAGCTGGCAACTTCGTTTGGCGGAAGGGCGGGCCTGCTTGTTATGATACAAAACGACCCTGAAAATCCCAGGTCGCTATCTCAATTCTTTCTCGAGTTATCGTGCGCACAGACGGACAAACAGACAAACAAACAGACAAACAGAATGAAACTTTTCCGGTCAGTGGAGTTATGGGCTTCGCTAATCGCTCAGCCAATGAAATAAAGAGCTTTTTCTTGATTTAATTCGCATTTTGATTTTAAACTCAAAATAGCTGCTTTTTGACGGACTTGTCCAGTTTCAGTCCTGTACCACCTTAAGGAGAGGGTATAGGGGAACAGGGTCTTACGGGCCCAAAATTTGACATACTCGAACCAGTTGTCGGGGTCTTATTACTCTAAAGTTAGGGACATGAAACTTCCGCTATTCGGTAACGGTTTTAATTAAAAGTTCAAATTTTGACAGATCGTTGGCTGAGCGAATAGCGAAGCCCTTTACTCCACTGACCCAAAAAGTTTCCATCTGTTTGTCTGTCTGTCTGTTTGTTTGGTTGGTTGTCTGTCCGCACGATAACTCGAGAAATAATTGAGAGAGCGATCTGGGAATTTCAGGGTCGTTTTGTATCATAAAAAGACACATCGAGTCCGAAGATGAGCATTCTAGCTCAAAAATTGACTTTTAAAAAAATCAAAAACCACAGGGCGCAAAATATTTTTTTTTAAATATTTTGTTATGGGCCCCGAAGGGCGAACTCGAGAAAGTAGAACCCTTCGGGCGAAAATTTCGTCCGTTTTGCTCTATATTGTACCATTTGGGTGCAAGAGGGCATTTCTTGCCAAAATAATGTGAAACCGACTAAAATGGTCTAAGTCGTAAATAAGACCTTTTATTGAAACATTGCGCAGGAAGTAATACTAAAACCACACAGTTGACGTTGAACCACACCCTCCTTTAGGCTCAAGGGTCTCTAGATTATCTAGATCACTAAAACGTTAATTTTTACATAACAATCTATCAAAATTCGAACTTTTAATCGAACAGTAGAAGTTTAATTTACCTAATTTTAGAGTAAAACTTCCCCGACAAATGCTGTGAGTATGTCAAATTTTGGAGCCGGAAGGCGCTGTTCCCGAATACCCTCCCACTTAAGACTTTTACCATAGGAACATAAAATTACACAGGGGTGAAACTCCCACCCATCTGTGGGAAAATCCGCTTTGGTGATCATTGTGAACAGCTGCTTTTCTGTGAGTGCTCCTCCTGGCCATTTACACTCAAATCGATCTTCCTTCATTTGTATCCAGCTCTTTCTGGCCACGTCAGGGACTTCTTCTCCCTCAAACTTGATTAACACAAACTGAAACAGAGAAACACAAAATTAAAACATTACCTACATTGTATATAATTGATTAGTTTAAAAACAAACAACCTATGTCACTAACAATTATTGCAGGAGAGGGGTGGTGCGAACCAGGGGAAAAGACACAGAACTGTCCCCATCCTCCAAGAGCCAACATTTTCCAAATATATTCTCAAGTGGAAAAGCCCCCCTATTCAAGTTTAGTTCCCCAACTTTGAAAATTCCCAACTCAGAGGAGTTAAAGTTAAAGATTCTCGTAAGTAGCGAAGCAGTTTCCAATGAAAAGCACAATGTTGTCCCTGATGACAATATTTTTGCGGATAGCAACCCTCCGATCATTCGTCATAAAGCAGCCATCTTTCCTCCCTATTCGGGAAACAACATTGTTCACATTGATAGTGGGTGCTATTTTCCTGTTCACAAGGATCAACGTGTTGCCTTACTGGTTGTACAGTATTTTGATTTGACTTGATTTTAACTTCTCTATTAACCCTTTCAGAGTCTCTTCTAACTATCTGCTCTAGTGGCAGATACCCTGACCTCAAAGTTTCTTTTTTGCTTTTTAACCGATTCTCATAACAAAAGGCAGAAAAGTTTTCTGTCACACCATGCATGCGACATTCATCTGCCAAGTGGGTTAAAGAATGCACGTTGTATACAACAAAATGGTTTCCAAACACTTCAGCAGAATATTGGACAAAATTATCTAAATATGCTTAAGCTTCATCAAGGAAATTAGGCAATAAATGTGGACTGGCAAGTATATAAATGGCACAGTGCAATAGACAAAACAATTTATATATGTTGTCATCCATTTGGCTCTTGAACAACACTGCTCCATCATACAACAGCAGTCTTCTAAGCTCAGTAGCTTTGTATTTATAGTATTCCTGAATCTTTCTTGGTTTCCTATTAAAATCACTTGGACATGATACCACAAATCCTAATAATTTCTCTGACATAGCAAAACTTTGCTCTTCAGTAAAGTTCCAGGGTCCCTCCCATGCCAGCAGAACGTCAAGCAGCCTTAGAAATGAGCCTTTGTAGAGGAGATGCGTAGGGTCCAACCGAAAATTTGACACCAAGCCAATTCCATTGACCATTTGTAGGGGAGAGTGGCCACAATGGTGGAGTCTGTCTTCCTGGTTGGCAAAAGACTGGTCAGTCCGAAGCTGGACATCAGGACCAACAACGGCATAATTCATCCTATCTTCTGCAAAAGTGCCTCTTACAGTACACTTTTCACAGGCTCCATGCCCCCTATGATTCACACAACACTTTACTAGAGACCTTGCCGGAGCACCAAGTATAAAGTTTTCTACTTCACATGGAAAGTTTTCTCCATCATAATCATATCCTTTTGTGTGCAAGTGATCTAGTTAAATGGTGAAATCACCTAAGAATACATCAATATCCCTTGGATCCGATTCACCACAGTATATAGCTATGATAAATGGTTCATTTTCAGAGTCTTTTAATTTTCCTAGAATAGGCCCAGAACTTAAATTTAGCCCCACCAGTCTTCGAGAATGGCAAGCCATCCACTTCTAAGAAGTCAGCTACATCCCTCTCTGCCCTACGCCTCACTCTACGCCTAGCCTACAAACAGAGGAAAGAATGCAACCCAAAATCAAGAAGAGAGTACAAATAACGT